ATTTTCATCGTGTCTTCGTAACTATAGCTATATATAATAAATTAATTCTGCTGTATTGTCTTTGCTGCTAAAGTCACGCTATACTATTACTCCACGAGTATAACTTTAACATAGTCGAGACGTGTCTGATCCTCACCAATACAATATTAACCAACCGCCTAAAAAATTTATTGTAAACGCTCTCCTCATTTGAAACGGTGAAAAAACCTGGACGGCTTTTAGTGCAAGCTCTCCCGGCTCTTGGCTTGCCTCTTTCATATTCTATCAAGATGGGGAACACTTTTTAAAACAAGCAGAATGGAGAGGTAATGGACGCTTTTACGGCGCGTTTTAATAAAACAGAATTTTCTTTAATAGTTCGACGCGGGGTTTAATGTCAGAGGAATGTGCTTTGTGATGAGATCTAAAAGGCAGAAAATACAATTGATGGCTCCCGCGGGAGTGGGAAGCCCACTTTAGCAAACATCGACAAGGATGTGCAGGACAGTGTCGAATCACATATGAAACACTGCTGAGCACAGAGTGGGATCAGTATAAATTAGACCTTACGATATGCGTTTCTCCGCCATTCAAATTCATTTGACTAATACTTGATACCTAAGCATTACAAGGAATCATGCATGATTTCCACATCGCAAACCATTACGAGGTGTGACATCGCTACATATATATCGCGACGGACGAATGTTTACGGATATCGATACACGGGAGATAAATTTATAAACGATCATTGACGAATTATTGAATTTAGTAATGTTCGGTCGCACAGATCGACAGTTCATCAGTGGAGTAGCTGGCATGAACGGCTGAGATATGAGCAGTACTATGTGACGATGCAATACAATGGGGGTGTTACAGGTTTAATAATTGTGATCAAGATCACGCGAATACAATCACTTCGTACATGATGACCGGTGGTTAATCGCAACCGTAATACACGGATTACCTGCTTAATTAGCCAACTAACATGTCGGATGGCGAAGAACAATAGAAGATGAGCCTGATAGTTTAAATGACGGGAAATTACAGCGGCAGCATGGCTCGAGTCGACTCGAGCCTCTAACTGTTAATGGACCAGGTAGCGTATTGAGACTTAGGAGATCGTGAGGAGATTAAAGATCTCAGCCTCCGCTCCTGCATCCGACTTGCTTCGCGGCTTGTGGCGTAAAACATTCAGCAGAAATTGCAACAAGAGGTTTAATCAAGGCCCCCGTAGCGCGCGCGTGTGTGCGTGTGTGTGTCTGGGGGAATGTTTAGCGTACAAGGAACATTCAAAATCTATTCAGCGTTTTAAACTAAGCGCAAGAACACAAAATTGTGAAACCTGGTGCCTTGACCTTCATATTCCGAGACCATAAATTATAAATTCTGATGCTATCATTTTTATATTTTGACAGCACGGTCACCGCAAGATTCTGGCGACTCCACTTTCGGATCATGGTGCTACATGCCCCCTTTATAATATACTGGCGCCATCTCCACATTCTGCTAGCGTCACCTCTACATATCAGCTAGTGCCATCACCTCTTTGCTCACGCACCGTTACCCCTTAATTCAGATATTATTAATACCACATGAACTGCTATGAATACTTTTAAAATAAGCGTTAAAAATGTTATAAATGTTAAAAACTGTTAACAATGTGGTCTTTATAGTCTCATATCTAGGTTGGCGGGTCAGTTGACTCCTCTAACGTTCAATGTCACCTCACATCTAGATTCGAGTGCCATAAAAGCAATATATACGCGGTCAGAGAGATGAGAATGACCCAAGAAAAGAAAAAAACTTCAAAATACTGACCACCCAATGTGGGTGCCGAACATATTGGCCATTTCTGCGCGTTCGAGTGATAAATTACAATGAGAAATGACCCAAAGATCAAGGGGAAGTTGTACATCCATATCAGCCTGGCCGAAGCTATGTACCGTACACTATAACTTCATATTTGCAAGATTTGATGATCGTTTTCACGACTATACACGACATTCCCATGCGAGTTACAGATATAGCTTACATGGCACCTCCATCGTCTACAGTATGTATAGAACTTACGTGAAAGACTTGCGTGTAGGATTTTCGGGGAAGCTCCACGTTCATGCACACATATCGCATTAGTAAGCTGTGTAGAGTGTACATTACGAATTCCGAGCACTGTTCAGAAACATAATCGCGCTGCCCGAAAATAGGATCATGATTCACGCCTGCATATATATATATATATATATATATAGTTGTGCTTTATACACTCGTAATGATTGCATGGAAGGAGCGGGGGGATTGTATACTGGATATGATGATCCTATGCCCTCGAATTAAGGCACCTACACGTGTCATCGCTAGATAATTATTATAGTACTACATCCACTCGCATTATTGTATGATGTTATAGATGCACGCAGATGGCATTGCATTGTAGTATTATATTAGCAAACATTACCTCTGCGTCTCCTCTCATCCATGCATCTAATGTCATCAAAACTACAGCAGTGCGGCAAGCGCAAAATCTATTTCAAATACATCGTTTGCAATATTGCAGCAGAACTACGCGCAATAAACGAGAATGTCGAAATTGGACACTATATGCAATCTATGCCACGACGTCCACAAATGAGCCTATGAATATTTCAAAATTCAGAAATTCCGAATGAGTATACGAAAAAAACGGGATCGCTAGTTTGTTAAGCGCAATTTCGACAACCGTAAGCAAATTCACCTAACACAATAACAACGAGACGAGATCTCGTCTGCTGATTGTCATATATATTCACCTTCTGCGTTCTACGATATATAATAATGAGAGACAATAATGAGCGGGTCGGGTACCAACGAGAAAAGAGATGAACTCGCGTATGGAGAATCAATGTTTTGGTGAGCCAGGATGATCACAAGCAAAAACCACTATGCCGAGATCGCGTCCCTCCGATAATGATATATGGTGGTTGTATCCGCTAGGAATTGCTTCCAGTTGTCAGGGGCTTACGCGTAAGAACTTAATCAATAGAACAGAGCCGTAAGTGAAACGGAAGAGAACGCGAACAATCCACTATTGAATATTGATGCCGAGTCCATGCTAAACACCACAGACACGCAGGCAGCCGTAACGAAGGCACGGCCGCGGCCGGTCCATGCACCATAGAGAAAGACACTCTGCACCCCATACTCTCTCCGTCTCTCACTCACGCACGCACGCACTCGCGCACGTACGTACAGGCACGCAGGCACGCACGCGCGTATGCACAGAGCGAGGGTGAATAGAAAAAGACAGGCATGCAGACCGTCACACACGCACGCATCCTATACTCTCTCGATCCCTCTCTCACTCACGAACGCACGCACGCAAGCACGAACAGTTATACACACACGCGTGCATCGACATACGCACGCACACGCATACACATAATACGCACATACAGAAATAGGGTAAAAGAAACAGACAGACATACAGACCGTCACACAACTACACACACATACTCACACGTGTGCCAGCACGCACACATACATACACGCACACGGACGCAAGCACGCACACACACACACACACACACACACACGCACGCGCACACGCGGACACGCATACACACACACAC